ATTTTGCCAGCTGGTTTTGACTTTTTAAGTTAATTTAGGTGTTAATAAACAGTTTCAGGGGAGTGATCATATTGATCTGCATCAGCAGTGCTGTCTGTCTCCCTGCCAGCTCAGAGATCAGCTTCTCCGATTGGTTGATGTGGCGCGTCGAGCAGTAAAAGTTTAATTTTTATTCAGCACTTTAAAGACCGCTACAGGTGCATAAGTAAATAATCCAACAGAAAGTAGAATATGGGGTAGCCCAAATTATTTACCACTCTAGGCTTCCAGAACAATGAAACTCGCCCGTTTGTAACAGTCCTGCTATCCAACATGCTCACAGTGTAGGACAAACCTCTTTACCCCACAGTGCAATTCTTTTGGGAACTCTTTCCTTCTTTTTTTTTTTTTTTTTGCTAAATTCAACTATATAATGAAGCGTCAATCAGCAAATTCTCAGACACGGTGGCTGAAGAACTTAGATGTGAGGAGCTAAAGAACTACATTGCAAGCATAAAGTGTTGATTGGGAAAGAAGATGATGAATCAAACCAAACGATCTTCCCTGCAGGAATTAAACTCTTGTCCTCAAGGGTAGTGTTCTGTTGTTACGTTAAATGTAAACTGTCTTTAGAGATAGACTGAATTTTGACACCACTTATCTAGTTATCTGTAATTACTGACAAAGGAGTGAACAACGTATTTTAACGAACTCTGCCAAGCACAAAGTTCTAGCAGCATTTCGATAGATATTGAAATTTCTTCCTCAACCTTGACCCACCTTCTTACTCTGATGTCCATCTTCTTCAACACTCATTTTCCCCAATAGATAAATAATACAAGGGCTTTGGTAATCTTGTTGTTTAAAAAAAAGCAGCACTTGTTTTAACTTCAGAGCTTTTATCATGTTTTAGAAATGTGTCAACAAAATCTTTTTGCAAACACAATCTGTCATGCAACTCAACTCGAAAAGAATTTGTTTGAAATTTGTTCTCTCTCAACAAAATACAATGAAAATTAATAAAAAATGTTCAGCACCTGATTCTGCAGTCAGTTTGGTCCAAAGCTCAGACACAAAAAAAGAGTTGCAGATGAAGATAATTATAGTGAGAAAATATAGAAGGACGTTTGAAGGGAGCATCCATTGCTTTAAGATGATCTGCTCACAAAAGCAAGTGTTTTCATTGCAGTTTTGCAAACTAAGTTTAAAAACGTTTTCAGCATTTAACAAACCTATTTTCCCAATTACAATTATGGCAGCTAGTGTTGTATTTCTGTCAGAGATCCATGTTTTCTTCATCCTGCTTGCACACTGGTTGCTCTCTGTATTTTTTGTGCTTAGCTGCATTATTATATTATATCTCTTTTTTCCTATTACTGTAGTGTCTTGTTTCCCTTGTGTTACGTCATCATATGATGACTGCTCCATTATGAGACAGATGACTCAGTGTACTATGACAGTGCAGAGGTTATCCTATGTGTGTTTGTGTGTGTGAAAGAGAGAGTGTGTGGTAAGGGATTTATATGAACAACGTTACTCAGATGTTTAGAGGGAGTGTGTGGGATTCACATCCCCACACGCAGAGGAGGAGGAGGATCTGAGGGAGACTTACTAAAACGTGTGGGAAAGAAGCAGAATATATGAAATGAAAATCTCAAAGCTGTAACCCTCTTAGTGGCTCATACTGTATGCATCTTATCATGTTGCTATCAGCTGCATCTTTATGTCTCTAAGACTTGGTTCAGGTTTTGTAGATACATCACTTGCTGCCAGCACCTTCAAACAAATAAAGGAATAATTTCCAAAATGGCTGAAAATGACACAATCACCTATCAGCTCATTAAACAGACTTTCGTACAAAATTACATTTCATTAATTTAATAAAGCAGGAAAATTCAAGGCATATTTCCTAAGCTTGTACTTAAATGCAGCATTAGCAGTTTGGGACTTTTACAAGTTTATCTGAAGACGTTTTTTTGGAGACAGAATTACAAGCAAAAAAATAAAAACGTATAATGCAAGTTTTTTTAGAATCGATATCATGCTTACTGTCATGCAAACACATGTGAATGCTGAAGTTGGTAAATCCAGCTCCAAAAAGTTAACATTTGTTCACATAACTCTGTGATTCTAACACCTCCAACTCAAATCCTGGAGGCTCCGTGTTCTGCAACCCTTTAGATGTGTCCCTTGCCCTCCATCATTTATTCAAATGGCCAAACTATGTCACTTGCAGTCATATTTGACTCAGGTTTGTCAAAGCAGAATGGCGTATAAAATTTGGAAAGCAGCCCTTTGAGATCCACTGGTTTAAACATTAGTCCCCATCTATGCTGTGGAGCTGGAAATGCAAACAGTTGAAACTAATCTATGTGTATTCTTTTTGCTTTCTGAACCTGGATTAGACACCCGTGTGTTAATGGTGCTGGTATTTTTGTTCATTTCCCCTTTAGGAGCCATGAAAGAGCAAATTCTTTATTTCTGGCCCATTGTCACACCAGACTTCTTGGCAGAATTGTTAGTTATTTAGAGCAGGTGTTTCCTGCCACACACCCGACTTTTAGGGCTCGAATAAAAATTTCCATTTGGGCTCACTGGAACATTTCCGGAGTTGTCCCTACCACAATACCATTTAATGTGTTTTAAGGGAATTTTGCTTTGCTGGAGCTGTCAATTCTATTCAAGTTTCAACCATCTTACTTTGACTCCCACCTTCAGAAAGAAGGAAACATGTTCAGACAGTCAGGAACAACCAATGAACTGTTCCTTAAATAAATGGGAAGATTCCAGTTTTACATTTCCACAGCCGGTCATGATTTGCAGTGCTGAAAATATAACAGAATAACAAGACATCGGGAGGCTACATGATGGTGAAGGATCATGTAATGCCACATAGAGTATAAAAGCTGCTGAAGTTGTGATTAGTTGTGATTTTGGGATTGTACTTGAATCAAGCAAAACCCAGTTTAGGACCAGTGTTATTTTTTGCAGCCATCTTAGATTTCATCTTAGGTTTAGTCTTCAGGACCAAAATTATTTTTAGTTTTAGTTGGTTTTTAGTCGACTAAATTTAAAAAGGTTTTAGATTAGTTTTAGTCAGTTTTGTAATGCAGTTCATAAAACAGTTAACCTTTATAATTTTGGATGACAACCAGGTTCTTTACCAGACTGACTGCTCTAGCCTAGATACTACAGTTGCTACGTATAGAATGCTGCCATGCAGTTCATAATTGCTGTTGGACAGAAAACTTTAATTTTTAGAATTCAAATAAAAAAGTGTCTCACAAAAGTTTTGAAATTAGCATATCTAGTTCAACACATCATATTGGTTAATATAGCAGACAGACAAGTTTACAAAATGCACAATAAAGGAATGATTTTGGACAAACATGTTTTCCATCCGAAAGCAAACACTTCCTGATATTATGAATTATGCATTTCATACAGATCAATAAAATCTTCAGTGCTTCAAAAAAGCAAAGAACATAAACATTCTTCTTTCTTCTTTGGTAATTTTGGCCTTATTTCTAAGAATTTGTCACTTGGTTACCACTTCTGAGGGGTCAAAGTAGATTTGAATTCACAGGAGACTGATATAAAACAAAATTACACAGAGAGCCTCAGAATTGCCTTGTAATGCCATTGCAACCCGGACCTAAATTTCAATATGTTACTAAAATGTTGAAATATTCACATAGATTGAATTTTTCTCTCATATTGTCCTTGTTTCTAAGAGCTATGTACCTTTTCATCTGGGTCTTTATCCAAAAATAAACATTATGCAATAAAAATTTTTCTTTGGATATAATTTAGGGATTCCTTTTGGTAGAAATAAAGAAAGTTTTGCATGATCTCTTGTGAGCTGGAAGAAATAAAATCTTGATAGTTAGACTAAAGGTTTTTTTACATTTGGCAAAGGATGATCATCTAGTTTATTAAGTAGCAAGAGCAGAAAGAGTCGCACTGCTGAGAGTGAACCATCAGTGTGGAGCATAAAGTGCAGACTCTGAGCTATGCGCACGCAAAGACGGATTTCTACACAAACACAGCTGGAAGAGCAGAGTTTTTCAGAGTTGAGTATGCAGTAACGAACCATTCCGGTTTATTTTCACCCCAGCCACTGCTGCCATGGTCCATCTGTGGTCATGCAGAATGTTTACAACTGCACGCCAGGTGGGCTGCATGACCAAAGAGGACGCAGCAGCATGGCTGATACTGCTTAGCAGATTACAGCACAATGATGCATTTTAAATGTCTGACAGACCGACCGCTAACATTGATATGTAGTCTCGTCTCGTTGACAAAAACTCACACCTAGGAGTCGTCATAGCTCCTCAGTTTTTGTTGTCATCATGAAAAAAAAAGAGCATCAACAAAATAATTTCGTCATCGTTTACGAAAATAATTCAATCTGAAAAACGCACACCAAGAGAAAAGACAATCAGGAGAAATTTATTGATACAATTACTTTGTCTTTGGCACTCAGACCTCGGCAGGAAACATAGTGCTTAATTTTGATAGATATGCATGAACAGGAGCAAAGAATAGGGCTGTTTCCCCCCTGGCCTGAAACTGGTGGTGGAGTAGAGATAAATGCAGTTGGTCAGTCTGTAGACTGCTGGTTAGAGAGACGGTATGCTGAGCTTTATGGGGAGATCCAGTGGATTGCAGAAGCTGATACTAGAGCTTCACTCAGGGACCTGGAAGATGGAAGTCCAGTTGGATAACACAGGTTTAGAGAACCTGTCCATGATGAGCAAGCATGAAGCAACAGTGGAGAGGAAAAATTCCCCGTTGGAAAGAAACCTCTGGCAAAACCAGGCTCAACATGTCGGTCTTCTGCCGGATCGGTTAAGATGAGACGGGAAACACAGTAAAAGTCTGGCAGGAATGACACTCTGATGAAGCTTTAGCTACGATAGTGGAGGAGGGGCTGGAGGTGGGTTGAATCGGTGTCATCTGAATGAAGTCACACAGCGCATCTGCCGCCTGCGCACAGGAGCAGACAGTGCGTATTGGAGGCCTTTTAAGATGAACTTTGGATTCCAATTGGCTTTCGTGGAGGTGTGGTTCCAAGCTGATTGGTTGTTATAGGTGGATATAGGAGAGCAATCAGTTTCTTCAGTTGAACCTCCACCTAGGCTCCATCACTGCTTAAGACCAAATGAAATTCTGTCAATGAACATTATCATCAGCATGGTTATTATAAAACATGTCCTTTTTCTTCATAATCTAAGGGTGTTGTATCACATATAGATTCTGGTTCTGGTGCAGCCCTAAAAATGCATGGGTCGGTATGAATGCATTCTGTTTACTGTTGTTTTGATTTGCTATGTTCCCTACAGTTTGCTCTTTTCAAGAATCACTTAATGATTTTGCTGAACTGAGTCAGTCTTATTCTTTTGACAAGATAAATACCCAATGCTCTCTTTTTTTATATCACCTATAAGCCAAGGTCCTTCAGTGTTCAGCTCAAAAATGCTGTTGAAAAGCAATGAAATGTTGTCACATTTATACATATCAATGACCTTAAAGAAAACCAAACAGCTTTTTGTTGTCATAGTGTGAATGAAAAACCTCCACTAAATCTGAAGCCTTTTTCAATTTTATTAGAAAGCTACAACAAAGTGAACATTAAAGGTTAAAATAAAAGTAACAAAAACCTGATTTTGATGTTGCAATGCCAGCTAAAACAAGATTTATTTTACAAAGCTGATTTTATCAGCTTTAATTCAATTCAGTTCAGTTTATTTATATAGCTCCAATTCACAACACGTGTCACCTCAAGACACTTTACAGTTCCCCAGATCATACAGTCAAATTGATTCAAGTTTTCTATCTAAGGAAAACCAGTTGATTGTATCGACTCATTGACTCAAATGCAATCCCCTTAGCTTTACCATCATGGCAAGATGTTTCTGCGTCAGTTTCTCTGAGTCATGTGGTCTTTATTTTCCCACAGCAGCAGAAGAACGTGGTGGTGGGAGGCCAGGCGGGGCTTCCCCTCTGAGGTTTCAGTCGAGATGTTTCTGGTTTCTCCACTCTTCACCACCGTTCACATCCTGAACAGAGACACTTCTGTAAAAAACAAAACAAAAGATCTCGGCTTCATTTTGCATTTTTCTTGAGAATTTGTGTTTTTTTTCCCCCAGACTGTATGTTTTCTTTTTTTATTCTGCTGAAAATTGAAGCTTACATTGAAACTAACTTTATGTGAGGGAGCAGTTATTACGGGTTCTTTTGTAAGATAGACCCTTGTAATACAGCAAAGAGCATACTCCCATTAACATCAGGGATAGAGAACTATAAAAGCCTCAGAGTGGATGTATCTGTATTTTTCTCAGGAACTAACCCTTAATTTTGGCCTTTCATCTGCAGAGAATTTGCTCTACTGTTTTCTTCAGCTCAAATGAATCTTACAAATTATACAAGACATGTGCGTTTGCAACATAAAGCATCTCTCTGAAAACCTGAAAATCTATGTTGTTATTATAATACTTTGCTTTTCATTAAAAAAAAGCTGCAAAACAGGAGACCATGAAGGTTAATACTAAGTTTAATTTAAATAAATAGTTCAGAAATCATATGAGGGTTCAATTCAGAGCTTTAATATTATGTAAATTCTGAGAGTGAACCAACTTTAACTCAACAAAATAGCTACATGCTGTCATGTGTAAACATACAACATTTCTTAGCATGCAGTTCATCCTATTTAATTGAAATGTTGTGGCTATCCTACATATGGACTTCCTGGATTTTAGAGAGGAAGGATTATAGGTAGTTGGCTAACTTTAACTTTCTTCAACCCTTGTGTAGCACAGAGTATCTACTACTTTAGATAAGAAATTGGCAACTGTTCTCCCCGAGGGACACTTTTAGAGATGTTCCTGCGTTAAGAAACTTGAATCAAACAGATAATAATCAGAACTCTGAAGGATCTGTATACTGAGGATGTAATTCATTTGTATGATCAAGGTGTGTTAAATCAAATTATGCATCCCTTCTCTAACACACCTCAACGATCATTCAGCTCAACAGAGGTTTAAAAACAACTTATTTATCTCTTTCAGGTGTCTCAGAGAATAGATTTATCAAGCAAAGGTATTCAAGGTCCGTCCTCAACAGTCGGTGTCCTGTATTTTTTATATGTTTCTTCACTTTGACACATCTGATTTCCATTGACGGCAGATTCAAAGGCTTTTGCTTAACTGCAACCATTTGAATTGGATGTGATAAAGCAGAGAATCATCTAAAACTTGCAGGACAGTGGTCCTTCAGGACTGACTTACAATAAGACACCCCTGGTCTAAAAAAAAAATCAGGTTACACAGACTGGCAAAAAGAAACCTTTGTAGGCAGTTTGGTAATTCCCACCATGCCATGAAGAGCCAATCCAGAAAGCTCTTGTTCCACTTTACTGTTCCTCTGTCTGACTTCTGGTCAAGTTTATTTAGCTTTTAAAAATTCATGAATTATGATGAATCTCTTTTTTTATTCCTTGAGAGCTGCTATGCTGCACCTTTAGGATGTTCCTCTGGGTTCAGACACTTGGATCTAATGGCTAAAAGGAACCTCCTTGTTATGTAGTCCAGTTCTTATGACCTCAATGGTTGAATTAGGAAGGGTAAGGCAAGGAGATATCTCAAAGTAGCAGGACTCTGTTTCTTGAGAACTGGACTATGAAAGGCCTCAAAGAGGTGACATTTTAACCTTTGATGTTTTTCTCCATTCACACAGACTCTTGTCTAGTAGCTTGAAAAGAATGTCTTGTTTTCAGCCACACAACCGATGGCCTTTTGGTTCCAAAAGTAAAACACCTCCGAATGACATCAAGTGATGCAAAAGCTTGTTAGTCATCCATTCCTTTAGGTGTGGAAGCAGGGAAACACCTCAAACATGCAGTTTAGTGAGTCCTGAGGACAAGGGATGGAAATACATGCTTCAACGTATGATGTTAAAATGTGCAGGCAATAAAATCATAAACTTTAGCTGCTCATTAACCCACTTTAGACATTCTGGAGGACAATGAATGAATTACATATGCAGGATAGAATATGCAAATAATGTTTACTTTTCCACTATTTTGTAGTTTATTTTTCTCTGTATTCCTGCCTTAGCCTCCCTGTCTAAGGTTTTTCAGGTTCATTGGTTTACCATTACAGGTTCAACCACTTCTGGGATTGTTCAGGTTGTATGACTTGTTGTTTCTGCTGAACTCAAAGAACAGAAAGTTTTTGCCCTGCAGCAACAGAGTTTCTTCCTTTCACAGGGTTCTGGGAAACTCTCGCTGCTCTGTTTGACTCCCATGAACTGCGCCGGGGTCTGTTCAGATACATCAGAGACTCTATGCTCAGTGAACTACTGCAGTTCCAACTGTTTCTCTTAATGCACACACAGAATGATCCTAGATTAGATCACATCTCACTCACTGTTCCCAAGACAAGTGGAAAGCAGCAACATGATTTCACTTGGATTTCATAGGAAACACAAAATGTCCCTGCCTAAAAAGGATACTACTGCAGTTGAATCTGCCCTTTTTTAGGAGAAGCATGACTACATCAGTGTTCCCCTGCAAGAGAATAGCAGGAGCAACGAGATTAGCGCTGCTTCTGATCAATCTTCTCAAAATAAAAAATGTGATAATAAATTATAAACTCATACTGTAAATTCAGTTACAGTTATGTCTGTTGGAGTTGTCTTCCTACATTTTGTTTTCTTTGATTTTCCCTTAAAGTGACTCATTCCAAATATAAAAATGCATAATCTTGTTTCTTTTTTTGTTCTGCTCAGAACTTTTCTTCCTGGAGTTTTGTTTGTTCTCTTTCATATCTTCATTGCAGTTTCACATTGTCTTTCTGGAAGTGCTTTTATGTATAAAAACTATAATCCTGATGTGGCATGTTGTTCTCAGATGTTCCTTTTTTATCTGACTCATATCACTTCTTGCAAAGATTTAGTTTATTTAGTCTATCTTCTGAGAACAACTTAGATTCAGCAACAACTTTTTACAGTTTTTTTTTTTGTTTAGTTTTTTTTTACAAATAAAAATACAATTTGAAAAACTCTTTGATTACTTTTGTCCATGTACAGTTAGAAACGATACATTAAAAGGTGAAATACAGTTTTAAAGTTATAAACAGTCCTGATTAAATATAAGGCAACTTACATGTTGAAGAGAGATCATTTGTAATCATTTCTAAACTTTTCTAGGTTTTACTGTACCATTTCCTGCTCAGTTTAACTAGCAAACTAACATCCATTCAGGCATGAATTGTAGAGAATAAGGGTGTTTTTATTCAATTTAATATTCAGTCTTCTTGGTTCCACACTTATCATCTATTATAAAATCAGATGAACAACAAATAATATTCATCTTTTGTGGGGCAAAACACAATTCCTGAAATGCCCTGATTTGCATTCCTCAGCTAGATTCATATTTTGCAGAGATGTTCCAATGGATCTAAATGTACTTCCAGGACCATGTCATTCAGATTAACATTAAAAACAAAATGTTATTGTTTTTAGGTAAAACCATCACTCGGTGCATGAAGTTATCGATAATCTGATATGGTGAAATGAGAACGTCCTTCCTGGCAGTGTCCAAGGAAGATACAAGCTCTCTGGTTAGTTTTGGTAGCCATTAGAAAGTTTCAAGCAGTTGGATGTATTTCTTTGCACAATTATAAGTTTATTTAAAGAAGCTGGTTGCTTGTTGAAAATACAGCTTTTGAGCAATGTTCACAAATTTTCAATCCATGTATTGTTGGTGCTATCTGAGAAGCTTAACATTAGCTTGTTTTATCATTTGAGAAATTTGCTTGCACTTTCTTTTCGGTATCAGTTAACCGGGTTAAAGTTTCAGCCATCTAGCTATTGATATGATGGGAAACTGGGCAATGCACCAGTGGTAATGAAACAATTCCACAGCATGATGCTGACACTAACGTGCTTAACAGTCCGTTTAGTGTCCTTTGATCTACAAATCTCACTGACGTATGTGCCTCTATTCATATTTAAGCTGGATTTTAATGTGTCAACAGTCAGAGCCTCCTGAGTTAATGCTAAAATCATTTTGCATCACTGGCATTCAAGATCCGGGATTTTAATCTAGAAAGTAAACAGGGATTATGCTTTTACATACAGAGTACATAAACTGGAGGTAGATTGACAGAATCACCTCCCCATCCACTAAATTTCACAAGAATCCTTCTAATGACCTAATTATGAGACTACGGGGCTGGAGTTAAATACCTGTTTTTAAAAGCATTAAACTGCATTGCAGAGGTGCCAGTTTTGCAGCACTGACACCTACAGTCTATGTTGGTATGACTCACACACCCCTCATGCATTTTTACAGGCTGGATTGTCTGGTATGCTTGCATGATAGATGCATAAGCATAAACCCAGCTAGAGTGGCAAACATCAAGGTTAACAGAGCACTCTACTCCAGCCAGGCAACGGAAGGAAGTACTCCTGTTTTTTTATGTGATGAATCACTGCAAGTTGGACAAAAAAAGGTTGTTTTATCTGCTGCTAACAGAGCAAAATAACAGGTGGTAAAATAAGTATTCGTCTGAACTGCTGATTTACTCAAATAAAGTAGTAGTAAAAGGTGCTGAGACCAGGGAAATTAGAGAAAAACAACGGAGATGACAAACCAAAAAGCCTCTGAGAGCAAAAAAAATGGGGTAAAAGTCAGCAAGTGGTTCTGGAAAAAGAGAGTTGGACAACAGCATGACTCAGCATATATCTATCACCCCCAGACAACACATGTGCATAAAACATTCTCTGATTGGAAGACTGTAAAAAAAATATCCTTCTTACACACTACATAATCACAGTGGTTTGACTTTAATGTGCACTATGTTATGCACTCACTGCAGGTGAGGCTCAAATGCCAGCTTCCAGTCCATTTTATATATAGAAAAAAACATTTGAGTCATAAACACTGCTAAACTGAAACCAAATTATCTTGTTCCTAGAAGTCATCATAGGTTTTCCATCTTAAATTAAAAAAAAAATCTTTCCAGGCCTGCAGTGTATGTATTCTTAATCATGTGGCATATACAGTCCCTATT